TGGTAGTGTTGCTGTGTTGGCTCTTCTGGGGGGGGGTGTCCTGGGACCTGGTGAGGCCTGCTGTGCTGCTGTTCTGCACAGTGTCCCAGTGTCCCTCACAGTGGCCTGCGTAGGGGACATGCCAATATAGTTAATAGTGGTGCACATGTGTAGTGTATGGGTGCAGACTAGCATGTGCGTGCACGCACGCACACAATCCCCCGCATGTGTGCACCCACCCACCTTGTCATCCCACCCCAGTCACTCTGAACCAGTTTCTGGGCAGGATGTGGCTGGCGCCTCTGTCCATCTTCTGTGTGTTGATGTATCTTAGGGTATGTTTTGGGGCTGCTGCCTGCATGTGAGACCCCAGTTCTCTGTGGTAGCACCCTCAGAAGTGGTGCAATTACACTGCCTTACTAGCAAGCATGTGGCCTGAACTGCTGTGTCCACATGCTGCTTTTGACATACCGTTGTGCTTGTACGGTGGGAAAAGGGTGCGTGGGTTGTTTTTTTTTTTTTTGTAAAGTGTATCAGTGTATGCCTCGCATCACCTGAGGATAAGTGGAAGATGCTGAAAGGTGAAAGCCAGCCAAGGGAGGTAGGTTTGCTCCTATCCCTCTTGTGATTGCAAAGGGCTCTTGGCATGTCCGAAGCCCAGAAGGACACCTGAGCTCACTTCTCAGAGCCTTGGTGAGGTTATGCCTTGCTGGAATGGAGCTGATGCTCTTCATTGCAGCCTGTAAAGGGCTGTTGCTTCGATTTGACACAAAACCAGTGCTGATAACATGCTGATATTTTGGCTGTTGCTGAACAGTGCTTGCACGGCATCAAGGCCGCCTCCCTTTCTCATGCTGCCCCCGCAGTGAGCTGGCTGGGGGTGGCTGAGAGGTTGGAAGGAGACACAGTGGGACAGCTGTGCCAAACAGACCCAAGAGGTGTCCAGGCCAGATAACATCATCCTCGGCAGTAAAGCTGGATGGGTGGGTGGTGATCTTTCCAAGGTGGGAGGTAGCGAGGACTGCATTTACATTACTTGTTCTTATTTTTGTTCTTTTTTTTTTTTTTTTTTTTCTTCATTTACTAAACTGTCTTTTTCTCACCCCAGGCATTTTTTTTCCCCACATTTGCTCTTCCAATTCTCTTCCCCCATGCCACTGGGGAGAAGGGGGGAGGTGGGGGAGTGAGCAAGCAGCTGGTAGGTGCTTACTTGCTGGCCAGGGTCAACCCATCATGACCTTAAAGGAGAACCCAGTAATTAACAGGCACGTAAAATGGGACATCAGGGAAGTATCTGTGAGCAAATCAGGGAGTTAAATGCTGATTTATTCTTAAAAGAGAAACATAATTAAACTTGTTTCTCTGTAGTCCACAAGAAACTCTCTTTATGAAATCTCATCTTCTGTTGTGGACCTGTGTTTTGGAAGAACTTGCTCATAATAGTACTAACACAGTCTTTCACAGCACAGATGATTAATTTAGTAAAGCTGTTTTCCCTGCTAGGCTAGCCTTCTGGTCAGGTACAAAATTTGCATTATCGAGGGCTAGTTCATCTAACTTACGTATCTGTTCAGTGCAATAGTTAGCTATTAAGCCTCAGTTATTGTGACCTCTTAGGTTTCTGCATCTGCAGGCCCCTGGAATTCCACTAAGCTTCGCCTCTGCTTTGAGCACAATGTAGGATTTAGCATTCCACTACTAGGTGTGCATGGTTTCTCGTGAAAATCCCAGACACTCTACCCTCAAAGTGGTTGGAATTGAAAATAATTTGATCTCTGAAAAGCTGGTTGTCCACAGAGGAGTATGTATCTGTCATGTTTATACTATTATATAGAACTGCTCTAAGTTGCGTTAGAAAACCTAACCAGAATTGGGGCCATCTAAGGGCTGGTGAAATATTTACGAATATGTGGTATCATGTCACCTGACATATCTCACAGAATGTTTCCAAATTTGAAGAACTACAGCACAGTGCCTTGACAACTAACTTCCACCAAACCAGGCTGCCAGCTGCAGCTGGGCAGAACTTGTGTTTTGAGGACAAACGGATTTTTACTGCTTTTGCATAGTTGTAGTCATATAGGCAGAACGTGCAATTTGAAGCTTTGGCATTGTGGGTAGGTGGGTACCCAGCGTCTGTGGTTTTAAGAGTTTTCATTTCTGCTGGAAGAGGGTGGACAACACTCAAAAGGAAAAGTTTCTGTGTGGGGTGAGGGCCTCAGGGGAGGACCAGAGTGGGCTGGCGAGCACAGGTTTTGCCTGGCAGCTGCCAGTGTGGGAGCTGCCAGTAGGGTCTTAGGTCCAGCAGTGCAAAGCAGCATCATGGAGCTCTGGGCTGGCCTCTGAACTGGGGAAGGGCCAGGCTGGCAGTGCCATGCCGGGGAGCCACAGAGCCCCACTCGGC